TGCAATCGATTAGTTGTCAACTTTTCGATTATTCGATTTTTATTCGATTTTAATATAAGTTGCCAAAAATTTTTCAACCGATTAGTTGCAATTTTCGATTTTCGATTGTAACACTAGTCCGTAGACCGTTCTACATCAGTAATCATTGATCGAAAAAAATCTTTCTCGCAATGCCAATAAGTAACATAGATGAAAATTTGGAATTAGCGCAGAACAGACTAGTTGAACTTAATAGGAAGAAGCTTGAAAGATATTGAAAGTTTCGTGGAAGAGGGGAACTGAAAAGGTTTAATATCTACCTCCGTTTAGTTAGAGGAGAAGTAATCGCATACGAAATGCCTAGTCTAGCCATAGCAGCAATATTGTCTTAATGTTGCTACTTTGGGAACAACCATCATCGGGACAGTTAACCCAGTAGCAGAACTTAAATGTGTGACAGGTTACATTAATTGATCAATATCGGCCTATATTAAACAGTTTTTAAATGTTATGGTTAGATTGAAAAAGTGTTAGAAAGAAGAGTTAGGTAAATTTATACCAAAATTATGAGTAGAATTTTTTTTTTAGAGCACCAAGAGCGGTTTTATAGGCAAAATTTTGGAATAAAAAAAAAAATTTTCTTGATTTTGTTGATCAACCTGGCACACATTCTAGATGTGCAACCCAGTAATCGACGATCACATGATAAACATATAATGACGTTATTTGTTTACATAATATTAATATAGTGAGTTGGATATTACTGTTGGTAATACCAGTGAATATTGTACCGATATTGCAGCCGAGCCAAAACAAACTCCGCGACCTACTGTACATTATAGAAGTAGCAAGAACTGAGACTTTCAACAGTTTGGATAGTCTGACGGTAGATTAAATTGATGAAGCTATTTGTTCTCATACTGGGTTAGAGGATAATGAATTATCCACAGCTTAAGACTTAGCATGTAATCAATTTATAGCTGCCATTGATGCCGGTGCTTTAAAGCTTTACAAATTAGCTCCTGTTGAACAAAAGACAAACTTGTTCGACACTCCTAGTTTGCATGCAAACGAGATTTCGTTGCCTAAACGTCTTGGTGTTGTAATTAACCAACTTGAAAAATGAATCTTGGTGAAGATAAAATCCGTATTTGGAATCAAGATATTGTTGTGAAGTGACACCTTGTCCATAGTATAGCCAGATTTTTTCTTAAGAGTTATAGTGCTTAGTTTTTGCAGGATGATGTAACCTGGAAAAATTTTAAGAAAAATGCAACTTCGTCATCTAGTCTAGAGAAAATAGTTGATTTTTCGCTTTCATCAGTTAATCTGATACTTAATAATCTTGAAGATGAATTCAACATTTGCTATAAGCAATCGACTATTGCTAAAGCTAATGGAGTGGAATTTGAGCTTTCTTTTCCACCATATGATTTTAGAAACGAGGCAGGCCAATCTTATTCAAGTCTATTTAGCGATAAAGATATTTGATTGTCAGCAGGACTCAACCGCAGCAATGCTTGCGATCCTCTACTTACGCAACAATCATCGGCACTAAATAGTTCAAACCCACTACCAAATGCACCACCCACGATAACATTGGCAAACACGACACCAAATCTTGCTATTTCTTTTGGAACAGCACCACTAAATCATCAAGCAACAGCTTTTATTATAGCTGTTTTCATAAATTCTGAGACACCTAAAAATTTTCTCGTTTCCCAGAATCTTTTCGGTTTCATCTAGTAAATTACCTAGATCTCTGGAAACTATATCACTATTTCGAACCTTCAGTCCGGAGACAGCGATATAGTTTCCGGAAAGTTAGATAATTTACCAGATGAAACTGAAAAGATTCTGAGTAGGGACCCGTAAAATTTTAGTTTTAAAAACTCAAAATTTTTTCTGATAACAATAAAAAATTTGGCCAAATTTAGTTTAAATTTTAGCAAACTTTAAATAAATTTTGATTTAAATTTAGTAAATTTTAGATTTAAATTTAATAAATTTTAGATAAATTTGGAAAAGTTTTATAGTTCATTTTTTTATTTTGTTAAAATACTTAATAATTCAACATTTAAATTTTGCTGATTGTTATTAAATATAAAATTAGAAACTAAGTCACATAAATTTATGTCTCTAGATCATGGCATCAATATCTAATACAAACTAATCATATACTATATACCTTAATAATTTAAGTTTGTATAAAATTTTTATTAAAAATAAAATACGTATACTAGAGATAAGCAAATCAAATATTTTTTGAATCTACTGCGGCCCACATTATAGTTTACTGCTAATGCAGGCCAGAATTGTGAAATTCAGAAATATTTCGAAATTCTGAAATATTCCACCTGTGCAGCATCCTATTCCTATGTATCACAAACTATAATATAATAAGGAAATTTTTAGAAAATTTTGGTTAAAATTGATAATTTTAAATTAGAATTTAAAAATTTTGAAAAATTTGAGTTAATACTTGAAATTTTAGATTTTTTGTGAAAATTTTAGATCTAAAATTTTACGGGTCCCTGATTTCGGGAAACGAGAAAATTTTTAGGTGTCCCAGAATTTATAAAAACAGCTGTAACAATGCTAGTATATCGACCGGTAGGTTAACTGGCTTCTTACAATATACCGATATCGTCTATACAGCAGCTGGTATGCAAAATTACCAAATAACTATCCCTGCGAACTTACTTTTTATGCCCAGAGTTGTTCCTACTGGAGTGCCGAATAATTTTACTATAGACCTATAGGAGATATAGCAAGAAGCTTTGCTTCATCTGGTATGTATTACTTTTACGCTTTTCTGATATATTATTGTTATCAGTATTTACTAATTTTTTTTACATTTTTAGTAATAATATCAATCAACTTAAGATAGATACTCTCCTAAATCTGCTTGCTTATACGTTTTCCAAATCACATATTGAATATATTTTCTTCATATAAACAAATTAAAAAAATACAAGGCCTGAAATATATAGTTTTTTTTATTAATATATGCAAAAAAAATAAATACAAAGTTAGGGATGTAGCCTGTATCTATTCTAATTAGTGTTGTTACTAGCCTTAAGTCTAAAGTTGGCAGGTAGGTTTTTTTTGGATTAGGATTTTCGGACAAATAGCTTCTAAAATAAAGTTATATATCCGAAAATAGAGAATTCTCTTTATTGGCACAGCAATGATCGATATAATCACTACTATTAAAATTAAAGAGAATAAAATTAGTCCTTACGATTAAATTATACATATTTTATTCTTGCTTTGATGTATAATGAATTCAAAATATCGATCATTCATTTCAAACCTTAAATCAGGTTAAGTGAAATAATCACAACAATGTAAAGTGGTCTCGATTTAGGGTTTGAAATGAAATAATTATCTGAAAATCTGATATTGTAGCAAAATTTGAATTGGTAGACTAGAGATCTACTGCTTAAGATTACTCACTATCCTTACTGTTACCAACTGTTTCTTAAATAAAATCCGGGAATATAACTTACGGTATAGCCAGAATTAAAAAATTATAGTAAAATTAAGCATAGTGAATTACGAATCTAAAATTTGGCCTAGAATTATGGTTTGGCCAGAGTTACAAGAATAATTTGTTGCCATTAATTACAGATCTACATATTTGGTCCAAATTAACTGATTTACAATGATCTACTTGTACTGGTACCAGTACCAGTGAATTCTTTAGCATTCGGCTCAATTCAGATTCATTATTATTACCAAAATACACAAACACTAAGCCTCTGATTTCTTGTGATTTTTTTTTTTTTTTTGAAAAGCATATAAATGAATGTACAGCATATATTAATAGGATTGTGCGTGGGTTAAGAAGATTAGGTGCGAATCTTGCTTCTTGTGAACATAGCGCGTTTATTTCTTATCATTATATTTGTTTTCTGAAATGAGGTTATGATTAGTATGTAATTAGTCAAGTTCCAAATTAAGCATTTATTAAACACATAAGCACTAAATAACGCTCGTGGGCGTTATTTTGAAAATCGGGTGCTTCAAAATGGTCTCAATTTAGCACTCATGAGCGTCCCGAATTAACGCGCATCCTAAATGTAGCACATAATTTATTGTTGCGATATATATACAGTATATGCGCACTCTATAAGTGCATTTCATATGCACTTTCCCTATAATGATAAATGATAATTTATTGTTGCGATAGATATGCACTTTCTCTATAATAAGAAGTGCACATAATTTATTCTTGCGATAGATATGCAGTATATGCGTACTCTTTCACATGCACTTTCCCTATATAATGATAAGTGCACATAATTTGATCGGCCTAATGTACCTAATTATTAGATATATTTTTACCAAACAATGCACATTTACTAAAGGCTGGCTGTATTAAATTTAGAAATATTCGAATTTATGCACATGAGCGTATTCGAAATAACGCGCAGGTGGGCATTATTTCATTTATACAGTATCAGGCTTCTCATATTGCGATTAGAATTAATGGTTGTATTCAAGGCCTAACCGGCTTGCCCCTATATTTATGCTTAGCTGTCTTTTCAATCTCATCAGCCTGGTTTTTATTTTATTATTTAGTTAAATTTTTATTTTTCTAAATTAAAATCAGATTAGCTTTTTTTAGAAATTTGTACTTGGGAGTTTGTACTTCAGGTGGGTTGATATAATTTAAAGTAACTAGTAGTTTTTGTGCAATTACAATAAAGAAATCTCTGGTTGGATTCGGATCGGATTAAATCCTAGCTTGGATTCGATTCGTGCTTCCCGAATCTTTAGAATATTCGCCAGATTTGATCCGTGCGGAACACTAATATTCGGGACATCTGGTAAAAAATTGACCGAATGATTATTTGGCTGGTTCGATGAGTTTTTGTTTCGGCAGTGATAAACTCTTGATTTGGGCGTTAGCAATAATGATATATATATTTTTTGTGATTGTATTCTGAATGACACTACAATGTCAACTTATTCGAAATTAATTTTTTGCTTGAATGTATGTCCAGTAGGGTTGTTAATGGCTTGGTTTGGTTTGGGTTATAAACCAGTGGAGTAAGCCTAAAACCAAACCAAACTGGTTTAATTATTCTAGTTTATACTCCAGTTTATACTCCAGTTTTATATTCTAATTTTATACTTCAGTTTTATACTCCAGTTTTATACTTCAGCTTATACTTCAGTTTTATACTCTAGTTTATATTTCAATTAATACTCTATTTTATACTTCAGTTTTATAGTATACTCTAATTTATACTTCAGTTTTATACTCTAGTTTATATTCCAGTTTTATACTCCAGTTTATATTCTAGTTTAATTTCAGAGCTAGTTTACTTAAGAAATTGCAAAAAAAATTGTTTATAATCTTTCACTCTTATTGTATTTTGCAAAATATGCTAATATATGTTACTTTTAATATGTGTCATTTTGTAAATTAAAAATATACTATAATATACAACCTGTATTTTCTTGTTATTTAATGGATACTAGAATTTCACAGAATAATAGTAAAATTACAATGCCTTTGGCTATGTGGTTTACTATTATTTTGTAGAATACACTGTGTCTACTGATATTTAATAAATAACTAGTTTATTCTATAGATATAACATGCAACTTTTTTAATTCTGATAAATAAATCAAGAGATTTTATGATATAATGATAAGTATTTAAATAAATTTTTTTTTTTTTTTTATATTAATATTAGAAGCTTTATTAAAATATCAATACAATATTTATATATCATAATATGTAGTTAAGATCTGTTAAAGGATTCTAAATTATTTGTATTTAGAGGTGGGCACCATGTATATGCATGCATATGCATAATTTGGTAGTCTTTGTATAACTACCTAATATTATCACCCTAGAAAAGTTTATTAACCAATCAAAATTCATGATCGAGCATAATATAAAAAGAAAAAATTAAATTGAAATACAGGTTTTGTATACCAATTTCAGACATTATAGCAATCAAATTCAGATATTATAGCAATCAAATTCAGACATTATAGCAATCAAATTCAGACATTATAGCAATCAAATTTGGACATAGTAGCAATCAAATTTGGACATAGTAGCAATCAAATTCAGACATAGTTGCAATTAAATTTGGACATTTTAGCAATCAAATTTGGACAGCGATATCTTGTGATCTAGTAGTCCAAATCACATATTGTTGGTACCATTCGACTCATCTTAGCAAGACTAGTTGAATGGTACCAAATTGTGTAGTTTGGACCACTAGATCACGAGATATCACTGTCCGAATTTGATTGCTAATATGTCTGAATTTGATTGCTATTATGTCCGAATTTGATTGCTACTATGTCCGAATTTTATTGCTATTATGTCTGAATTTAATTGCTACTATGTTCAAATTTGATTGCTATAATGTCTGAATTTGATTGCTATAATATCCAAATTTGATTGCTATAATGTTCAAAATTGGTATACAAAACCTGTATTAAATTTTATTTATAAGGTA